ATTTCCTACTTATTAATCTATTATTGCATAAATATGTTTCACTAGCCGCTCAGCGGAATATATTTTCTCATCGCAAAGTCTATAATTATTCTAAGAGTTATAGTGCATATAAATTGCATTCACCTTTTACCACTTATCTAACTAAAGCAATCCCTGAAAAAATAATAGCGTTAAAAATAAATAACGCGTATTATAATTTGTGAAATGAAATATTTGTAGTAATTCCTGTGCAGAAGGTATAATTGCAAAATGACGTTTCTAACATTTTTCCGGGGATTTCTTCAAGTATTAAATTAAAGTGATTTAAAAATAGAAAAGAGAAAAAAATTATATATATTATATTGAATTTATAATTTTTGTAAATATATTTTGTCGCATAAAATAATTTGCGGTTTATAATTTGCGCAATTAGAATTTCTATTATAAAACGTAAATTAAATTGACAAACAAAATATTGATCGCTAATTAAAAGTATTACCACACCACGTGACGGTACTTTTCCTGGCGAATAGTCTGTTTGGAAATCTCTTTAAAAACTGTTCAAATCAAACACCGAATATATCTCTGTTTCGAGATATTCCTAAGTCTTTAAACAAAATTCTCTAATAACAGTTGTATATCGCAGTTCAAAGAATTTCCAAAAACTTGTTCGCCGAAGCTATGAGTATGAAATAGTCTCTACGAGGGTCTCAACCCTAAAAGTAAGTGTAAGAAGATTCTGTGATCGGCCTTTTTTACTTAAAAAATAACATTTTTATCCAAAAATATTTTAGCAATTCACATTTTTCTCTCTTTTGTATTCATATAAATATGTATATATAAATACATAAAAATAATATATAAATAGGCAAATAAAACCTGTAATGTTCAAACACAAATATCGTAAGAAGATTCTTCATTTAATCAAGATAAACTCATTTGAACTATGCAAGGTCTACCAAGCCTCTCTCTTACACTTTCTGTAAATAAAGTATATCATTTAGGGTTAATATTTAAGGTCTAAACAAAAACAAACATCCATCTCCAGGATGACTTACTGTCTATCGTGAATCGTGTATCTATAAATAAATATTAACGCTCGATATATTTCTCGCTATCGTTTTCACAGCTTCTAGGGACTACGCGTTACCTACGGGAAAAAGCGCTCGATGTGTTCTGTTACACGGTAACCGTAAGAATTGCGATTATCTTTGGATAAATTGCTCGTAGTTGATGTTGCGCGGGTAAAACGTAAAAGAGATAAAATTCGGTCGCATAATCCAGAGACGTTCGCACTGCAATAATTCGTAATAGAAATTTGATTCGAAAGACAGAAAACTGATTCGTCGCACATTATGTGGAGATCCTAAGAGACCTAATTAAGAAAAATTAATATCACCCATATTAAAAATATTTAATTCTTAATGTAATTTTAAAAAATACAATACGCGATCTCCAAGTGCAAAAATGACTGACGAACAATCTAACACTCGAAATAAAACGCGAGTGCAAAGATGATCTAAAGCGTACAAGCCGCAGCATATTTGTCTAAATCCGACTTTCTTTTCTTCCCTCTCCTTCTCCCTGCCAGAAATTATTATACTCTGTCGGCCTGTAATAAAGATATTAAAAACTACACCAAATCACGCAGCATCGTTCGACTTAACGGCATCACTTTCCCTACTACATTTTTAGGGATGTTCACTACTCGCTACAATTAAGAGACGAAAGCGCACGATGAATGAAACAAGTTTCCGGATATATTGTTCATATTTTCGACATTTTTCCCCGATTTTTATAATTCTTTTATTTCCTTTCTCAATGTTATCCAATTACTGCATGTCCGTTTAAAGTAATATATTATGACTAAAAAAAATGTAAAACTCTTTTTTTTATACGTAAAATAAAATGATTAATTATCATGGCAGAATACACAAAAGAATTTGACAAGAGAATAGTTTCGTTGGTTTCGATCATCATGCACTTTTGTTTGCCCAGATATTTCGATTAGCGCGGTCACTTGTCGTCTACAAAGACGCGCACATAGCGCTGGGAGAATTCACAAAACGCCATCTAAAAATTTGTTAATCTCACAAAGCTCTACTATTTCTCTTTCTACTCTCCCTTTCTCTATTTTATCTTCGTATGGTGTTACAATGAATAAAGATTTTTCATTTAACACTCTAAGAGTTCCCATCGCTAGGTGCGCTAGAACAATATGGTCTCTCTATGTAGTTCTTATGATTAATTCGCTAATTAAATAGATCTATCTATGCTCTTACTTGTATTATCTATTATTATAAGGCATGGAGTATGTTATACTTGTCCAGTCAACTCTTTCTTCTCTCTCTCTCTCGCACACTTTCATTCATACTTTCTCGCTTTCTTCCTCTTTTTCTCTCATTCATTTAACTCCATCATGCGATACCCTTTTTTCGTTTTTAAATCTATTCCGCGAGTTATCTATACGTGTAAGTGTTGTAACGATTCCGTTTCTTTTTCGTTGGAAACTAATTTCTTATTTACGGTATGCTTAGCACGCAGATAAGTATGCACACTCTACCACCCCTCTTGTGATCCGAAAAGAGAATTGGACTCTGAAAAATTTTGCGCACGCCTCTATAAATTGGCACACTGTCTTTTTTTCTATTAAAGATTTTTTTGGCCGAGTCGTGCTACTCGCATGAATTCGACTCACTTAAATTTATTCCATTCCGAAATTCGATTTTTGCGCGGCTATCAAGATAAACAGTTCGCATTCATTTCTCCCTTTACAACTTGTAACAACGCGGTCCATTCTCTGTTCAGAGCGATACGCTAATCGCATTTAATATAATCGTTAGGCGCTTGGTAAAAGATGAGGGGCTCCGCTTCGAGAGAGGAACCTCTCTTCATACATCTCCTTTCGCTCTCGTAATTAATCGTACATTAATAATCGTACGTTAACATTCGATGAGACTATTTACAAGCTCGTTTATCTACTGGGGTGACTATGTGAACGATCGAAGAGTCGAAACGCTAAGCATGTAGGTACCTCTATGTTGTCTCGTGTCTTTTGCATGCGCGTATGTAAGCACGTAAAGATACGAAGTTGCGATTTTGTTGGCCGTGAAAAGAGAATATTACTTTTGTGGAAAAAAAAAATAATGTAAAGAATAAAGATTTGAATTAAAAAAAAAAAACACATTACTATAAACTCAGCACTGCTGAAGCGATAATGTGAAGCTTGAATTTAAACGTTAATACAGTTATGTATTATCTCTTTTTTCGCACACGGTTTTGACATTTACTTTTGATCGCGATTTTTCCCGACAATTTTCAGTGTACGTAATAGCAGCGGTCGAATTGATATTTTTTTAAAGAAGTAAAATTTTCCGTGATTAATTTTTTGTAGTGAAAAACAAGTCTCTCTAGCAATAATCACAATTTGAAGTATAATCGCATAATTTTATTTCCATGAATACGCGGATCAAACTCTATTGTTGAGAAAATTGTCGAAAGCTTGCCTTGTTTCGCTTTGATTTTGGCGCGTAAATGAAAACGAGTATTACCTATTGTTCCATCGATGCGCAAATTCGTAAACACGAGAGCTTGCTGCGTGACTGAGTGTACGTATGAGAATGTGAGTGTATTGTACGATACGCGATGTGCATGCATGAATACATATGTATTCATCTACATATATGTATACATGCATCGCGTTATGTCGAACGAATTTCTGCAAGAGACTGTAGTGAGTATCGGTAGTTAAGGCCGATTCAGTGTTTCTCGCCCGTTCTCTCTTTCTTTCGCTCTGAGAGCGAATATTTCTCTCTCTCTCTCTCTCTCATAATATATTAAATTAAAATATATTAATCACATATTAAATTAAATAAATTTCTTCCTTTTTTTAGTCCAGCGTATGATTGAACGGAAACGAAATGACTACGCCGTATAAATAAAATAAAATTTCATTAATAAACTTAATGAGATAATAGAAAATATCATCAATTGAACCCGTTGTATTATAAGTAACGTTAGGCCAGCAATAAAAGGACTACTATTTTATTTTAGACTGTTCAATTAGTTAGAATTATATAAGCAAGCAATAACAAATCATACGTACTACGTTATACGTACAAAGTTAGATTTTTAATACTCCTTTTTCAATTAAACATCAATACCATTCGTTAGAAAATATTAATTGTGCTAAAATGATACTTAATTTCATGATTATTAATTCTTTCCCGTCGCTTATTACTGGTTTTAAGAGTACATTTCTTGTCACTTTCGTTGTTGATGAAACGAAAACAGATAATCTGAACCGGGCTTAATCAATCGATCAATTTTGTAACTTAATAAATCGCAATCGTAGATAACAGGCTGTTTTCAGGCCAGATGAGAGAATCGATAAAAATCACCGTGCCTTAGAAGATAGATTTTGCACGATCGCACTTATCGAACTGCTTCGGTAACGATCAGATCGATGAAAGATGCGATCGTACGAGAACACTTTAAACGTTTCGTATTATACATATCGTCATCAAAATTTGTATACGCTCATGTCCATTCTTCGCTGTAATTCGTTTTTTTTTTTTTTTTCGTTTTCTTTTTCGAAACGCTTTTATAGGCCGGCCTCCATGCCGCGCGCGCGAACCTTTATAAAAATCATATATTATTATTATATATATATATTTATCACCAAATCAACAAATAAATATCCTAAATATATTAAATATGTGTAATATATATATGTAATATGTTCTCCCAACAAATAATATATATATATATATAAGTTCATCTATTTCGTTAATAATATAATTTAATATACATAGTAATATATATGTATATGTATATTACTATATATATATATATATGTATGTATATACGTATTTATAATATATTTATATATTACTTCTCATTTATATATACTATATTTATATATTAGGCATACTCTATATGTGAAAGTCTACCCTTGTATCCCGGTAGGATCGGACTGGTCCGTCCGACCTTGCTATTTTTAATAATATTTCTTTTTCCTTTTTTCTTTATAATATTGCCTTCTCACTATTTATCACCCACCTTCACTCTAGAAGGGTGCGTTCTCTTTCATTAGAGCCACACGGATCTCCTCCTTCGCATGTGGTCGTAGCTCACAGCCGAAACCAAATAAATTCTAATGCATTCTTGCACCGAATCGTTCCTTCGTGTCGCGTCTCTTTAATATCTTTGTGTGCCCATGCAGCTTTCTTTCTTACATATGAAAAATCCATATTATCGCGCAGACAAAAAGAAATGCATTATTTGAATCAGAAGCACCTGTGTTAACAGAAGAAACGCGCGTACACAAAGGAACGACTTTTTCAGGCAAGAACGCATTCGCGTAATAATCCCTCGTCGTTATCTCAAATTTTTAATAAACGTAATAAAAACTTCCCTGATTACAATCAAATGTCCATATTGTATAATCTATTGAATGTCCGTAAAGTAAACTTCCTCTCCTACGCTGCTTTCGTCTGTCATGCATTCACGATCACCATTAAAACAAGAGTGCAGATGGAGAAGATAATTTACGATAAGGAAAGGAAATTCATGATAAATTAACAATATGAATATAATTGACTGTACAGTCTAAACATAATAACCCGATACTAATGACTTTATTATTTTATAATGCAGCTAATCTCGCTGTATTATAAAGTTTTATCAAGCAATCACTCATTTCCATCTATCTTAATTTTTCTCTTCTCGAAATAACACGTTTCTATTATTTCTCGCGAACTTGTCATACACGTTCTATTAAACAGATTTATCTGTCACGCTTCATTTTCGTATTTTTTCAAAATACGCAAGCACGATTAATAAATCTTTCCCTGTAGAACGTTAAGAAAAAATCAACCATCCCTGCTAATAAAATCTCCGCGATTTCCATAGCAAAAAAGAAATAAAGAAAGTTAATGAATATCCTGAAATATCGTCTAAATCGTATTTCGAAACGATCAACGAAATATTTCAGCTCTCTTTTCATCAAACCTTGTCTACCATCCTCGGATCTCCGTACTTTATCCTATCCTGTAGGATGATCACACCTTCTCGACTCCATGTTCGACTGGGCTTAAACCAGTAATTAAATGTATGAGGCCGTCGCCGTTCGTAGGGTGGAATGAAATGCGCCGTGAAGCGTGTGCAGAGGCATCAGCTTTTCGAGATCTGCCTGCGTGGATGACGCGAGAGACAAATCGCCTCCGTGCCCTTCCTCGTGATCGCGTCTTAGGTGCTCGTCGACGCACTGTTTGTCACTATTATTATTACGATAATCGCCACGATCTTGCTGCGAGCGTTGCGGCGAGTAAACCGTGTTGGATGAAGGGTGCGGGAGGACGCGACGGAACTGAGAGGCAGGCTGCACCCTGCACGCACCCTGTACCCCCTCTCACTTGTCCTCGGACTCACCTCGCGGTGACGTGTCCGTATCCTGTCTATCGCTGTTATCAGAGAGTGTGAAGACGATCGTTGTAATTTTTTTTTTTTATACCCATCTGTTATATATCTATGCAAAACTTTATCCTTTCGGCTCAACTGGCTGCACTAGTTCAGAGTTTACTCCTTACATTGGAAGAAAAGAGATAAATTTGAAACTACTGCAGCCAGTTCAGCTGAAACAGACATTTTGTGTGAACGAACGGAAGTATAAGAAGAGTCTGCCAAGACTTACCATATGTATCGTATAGACTTCATCTTGAGAGCGGTGGAGTTCTCTTTGCATTTATATGCTAAGACCTGTTTCACGCTGCTAACGTCCACTGACGGAAACCTCGACGTCACGTAAGCTGTAACAGAAGATATTCATTAAATTTTAATTTTCGAGGAAAGGAAGGTTTACAGAAATGTTTGATGTACATGCGTTTCTTAATGTATCCCTCCAAGCATCGTCATTTTCATCGCGTTTACTCACATATAATGGCTTGAACCTTAGCCTTATCGAGGGCAGGTTTGACAGGACGTTCGGTAGCTGTGCCAGCGCGGCTCCAACGTTGACCTGTGACGGAGCACGTCGCCAGCTCCGTCGGGCTGAACAATATCGCGGCTAATCCACGTGTCAACTTGCGATAATCACTCCATTTGACGGCTCTGAGCTGCTCCTCGCAGACAGCTATACCCTCACCTAAATGGACCTGTAAGAGAAGAGATCAGTGCTCAAATTATGACATTGTTATTATTCACATTTATTTGTGAGAAAAACGTGTAGAAAAATTAAACGTGCAAAGACATTTGCATTGTCGAGCGAATACTGTAAAAAGATCTGATACAATTTAAGCTTGAAGTAACAAAGGGATCATTTATTTGTTTCAGGGATGTTAGAGAAGAAATTCATTGATACTGACCACACCGTCCGACGAAAATTCTTCGAATCCACGGAAGGCAGGCATCGCGGTTGGCGGAGTCGTTCTCATATCCAAGGGTAGCCATTCGCTCCTGGAGGGCGAATTTCTGCGAACGGACGGCGATGGATGTTTGCCACCTCTGGTTCCGAGTCGCGGTCTACCGCGACGTACTCTTCGCGCTGGAATCATCAATTGTGAAAAGGTATGCATTTAATTTTGTGTTTCTTTCTGCGTCGCATAAACCTCGGAGAAGAAATGTTAGATGTAACTCTACCTGTTATTATGCAATTATCTTTGCAACAGACATGAAATTCAAACTTTGCCAAAATAATTGTTATATAAACAATAATGTTATGATGTTTATTTTATGAAAAATATGCAAATGATGCATTCTTCTACTATATGTATAAGTTGGAAAAGAAATATATTATTTAGATTATTATTTGATGGTCCAACAAGAATTACAAAGTATTATTAGCTGATGAAAAATATTTCCGGATGAGCCGAACATATACAGGATACATATACAAGTTTTCTGAAAGGATATATTTATTTCTTTTTTATTTTATAAAAAAAATGAAATCTAACATATATGAAAAAAGAAATCATTCATTTAACTTAAAACTACGCAATATTTCCAAAAATGTGGAAATGACGATTTTAGAGGTTTAATATACGTATAATAATAAATACTTTATGCTGCATAATACTTTCAAAAATTAGGAATGATTATGTGCAGATAAAGCAAACTATTTTTAATGAATTTTGAGAACAGTATAAGAGAATATCGGTAATGTTGTCACTTTGCAACAATCTTTTTAATCGAGGAATCGATTCTTGTGCCGATTTATCAGTCTGTCGATACATATAGAGGAACGTGAATAAAACACACACAGACTTTTCATCACTTATCAAACATTCATGTAATCTAACTTAGCTTTCTAAAGAAAACGATCTTGCAATCGTGTTTCACTCTAACTTTTATACACTGTAAAAATATATATAATATATTATATATTTTTTTAAATATGTAATATATTACATATTTTTTACAGAGTGATAATTAGTAAATTTAATTAAGCCCTCTCCCTCACAATTACGCATTAAATCGTTCTTTCAATATCAATATCATAATATGGTTTACTGTATCGATGTATTAAAAACATCACGTTGATAATGTCCATCTTCGTCGAAGAAACTTATAAGTTGATTCGTCCGTTTGACATTACGATCTCAAAAATATTGAAGAATGATATCTCCTGAGGGAGACTTGGGGCGTCTGATAGACTGATGACTCCACGGGATGATCATGATTACGTTCCAACAATCTCTTCCTCGGAAGAAGAAGAGGAGTCGGCAAAAATGAGGGAGGAGGATGATCTTCCATCCTCCGTGACCACCATGACCTTCCGTTGCAACGATGTCATCTCTAGGAGGTCGGGAGCGGTCGCATGGGCCGACCTGAGGTGTCTGCGTAGATTACTGTTGTTGCTGTAGACGCGGGCACATTGCGGACAAGGCCGCGGATTGTGCCAGGTGGAGACGGCGCTGGAAACACTCGATATTTTTAACGAGGTCGGCGACGACGACGACGGTGGTGATCCCGTTCCCTCCGTATCGAAGTTGGCGATGGCTGCAACATACCAGCCGACGAATCTAGATTAGTTTCTCCATCCATCCGTCGTCGTCAGCCAAAAATCACCCTCTTCCACATCCTCTCCTATCTCATCTCTTTTCTCTTTCTTTTTACATTTCCTTTTTTTCATCATACTCTTGTCGAGCGCAGCTAAGACCGTTTTAAGCTTACGGTCTAATAAAGTCGATTTTCCAATCGTCCCGAGATAATTAAAATATCAGAATATCTTGAGGTGACGTGCTGGGAGATTATAAATCCTTTAAATTGAAGATGCGGCTAGAAAGTATCTTAGAAATCCATCGATATTGTATTTTAATGTAGAATTATATTATTTTTCAAACATGTTCCTCTATACGTGTCGTCGAGTATCATGATATATTATTTCAATATGTCTGTTCAAAAGTTTTATGTTGGATCATATGTATCAGCGGTGTGGAGTGATTGAAGGTTGATTTAATGTAACATGTACCTTATCTGCTATCGCCTAAAATTCTCGTGCAAAAATAACGTAATACACAATATATTCCGTACAAATGTGAATTACTTTATTCAAATGTGTCGGTTTGACAAAATTTCGAATACAGAATCGAATCGCTACGACGGGATATTGCGCTCTAAGCCAGACGGAAAGTCTCTCGTAATTCGTGATTGCAACAGGAATTCGTTTTCGTAGCCGAAAGAGTTCGCGTTAGTTAATTATTACCTTTTTTTCGTAGTCGGAACGTACAAAAGCGCGAACGTAAAATAGGAACGTCGCTATTATGGTAGGATTACGCTTAGTAAATCTGCGTAGATTTGCTGGAAAAATCCCGTCATCGAGTATAACGATAACGAGGTCCTCGTCGCACATTGATATTGCAATTAAATAATGAGACTCGCATTTCGCGAGTCTCAACAATGGGAGTGTGGGCGAGGGGACGGGGTGAGGAAAAAAGCACACTTGATTACAGATCTATGGCTACTTGATTGATGCATCTGTTGTCGCTAGCGAAATTAACGCATGTGTTTGTTTATATGAGTTATAGGTTTCTACATGCTGCGCGATTCGACAATGTCGCGCGATCCTTCGCAAGCTTTCTTTCTAACTAACCATTTGTGCATTTTTCAAACAGATTTTTGTCAGTTTAGAATAATAGCGAAACGCTAAAACATTTTTTTTCCGTCAAGCAATCGATAGCTAATAAATACGTGCTACTTTGACGCGAAGATAAAATGTCCGATTCGAACTTTTTTTTTTACTATTCTCGTTCATGTTTAATTTTATTAATTCATATATCGATAAAGAACGATTTTATTGACCGCTCGTAATAGAAATTTATTTTCTGATTTATGCCACGCAAAACGATTATTTCTTTCGAAACCATATACATCTCTAAAAAATAAAATTAATGCATGCATTGAATTGATACATGTTGAAATGCTTTACAAATAATTAATGTCAGTGCAAAGGTTGCCAAAATAAATTAGTCTACCAGTCTAATAATAAGAAATGGACGGCAACATATAATACTAGTCTTTATCTTTGCCAATATCACATTTGCAAATATCATAATTTTTCGAATATGTATTTTAATCCTGTCTCTTGCACTCCCTCTCTATCTCTCGTGCGATGATGATTATAGTACAACTTAAAAAATAAATGTAAAAGCTATCGTAACGATGCAAATAAAGCTTTTATACAATTTCACGATTTATTCGGTAGTTACGAGTAATCGTGACAATTGCGAAAGTATAAAAAAAAATTCAATCGTTTGCGGCATTCATCATCATGCACAAAGGTTCAAGAGTTCTTGCTCCGGATAATTTCTGATAAATTAAGTGCAGCATATGTGCAGTAAATTGCAAGCGCACTCGATGCAAGCTTAAGCTACTTGTAGTGTTGGGCCTCGGATACATGCGCATACGAATTTCTGTAGTTTCTGTATATATGTAACTACATCTAAATATTTCCGTTCAGATAAGTCTGACGTATTTGAAATAAAAGCGATATTAGTAAAAAGATTCATCTCATATGTGAGATATACCGAAATTATATCTAGAAAAAGAGTCGTTTACGTATTTTCGTAATCTAAAAATTAATTATCACATTATTGAAAATAAAAATTATATATAGATTGATCAGTATAATATTCTTACAATTGTATCAAGCGATACAACATTCAATAGATAATTCAGTCTACGAACTTTGGATAGAGATTCAAATTTATAAAAATATAAAAAATCTTCTGTAAAAATAGAAACAGATTTAGATGAATTTCAAAAAAGTAATACCTGCACATGTATCCAAATACTGTCATATTATTTTGTGCCCATCACTTACTGCTAGTCAGTTAAATATAACGCAGTGCCGCATATAATAAATAAATTACCGTGGCGTATCAAATCTCAAGAAAACATTGTGGAAATGTTAGCCGAAAGTAAAATATATGTCTCTCAATAAGTTATGAATTCGAATTCTTTTTTGATGCAGAGCTCATTCTGTCCAGATAATTGCTTGTTGAAAAAAAGAAGGTCTATATTCCTTGAAGCATAAATCAGATCATTTGTAACTTGCTTTCGCTAACTTTCTTTCGTGTTTATATTAAGCCAATATTAAGTCACTTTTGTGGAGCATATATGAGCTCAGCCTAAAAAGAGCACTTTATCAATTTTTTATTCTATCGGTTTTGTCGCTACAAAATTGCTGTCTAGCAAGTGTCCTGATAAAAAAACAAGGGCACCTTTCAGACATTAAAACTTGTACTCTACTTAAATACAATGCAATAATTGAATAAAATAATTGAAACGATTGTACATTATAAAGTTTGCCTAATAAAAATTTACTGGATCAACAAAATCACACATATATTTTCTATATTATTCTCTCATCTTTAAACTGTATAAATAAATATATATATATAAATTGTATAAATTTTGTATAAATTATCAAGTATAAAAATTGAAGAATTTTAACATGTTAGATTTTAAAAAACTATATGGAAATAATTAAACATAAAAATGTATACTCTTCTTTCTATTAATTTACATAGATTTCATTTTTCTTATGATCTTCGAATTTCTATCAGGAACTCCGACAGGTTCTCTTTCGCACGTGCAATTTTTTTTTCTTTGCGCGTGACAAAGAGAGACATTCATGAAGCCAATACGCATTTTCTCATCAATTATCTGCTCAGAAATTCCGCCAAGTACAACTTGCTGTACTTTTCTTTCCTGTTTTCTTTTATCTCTCTTAGACGCCTTAATACAGTACATACCGCACGTACATACACACACACATACACGCACGCATACTTGCATTCGTCGAAAATCAGTCGTATATCCTTTTTTTGCAATTGCCATTATATAATATATGTGGGATAGCACGAGACGCTATTGACCTGCCCGTTTACTTAGAGAATAACTTACTTCGGATACGCCATGATTTGAATAAATATACGTAAATATTAGCATGTAGTGACTGACTACTTCAGAAGCGAAATATTCGTATTTTCGATACAGTCGTATTGGAAAAATTGCCGCTATTTACATCGAAAATTTCGCACT